TATATATATGAAGAGGCGGCACTGTGTTTTTTCTTTACTTTAAGTGCTTGTAGCGACCTTCAGAAGAGAGCAGAGAGAGAGAGGTACAGCTGAGAGCTTTTCCGTGTCCAGCTGAGTTGGCGTGAAGTTACCTGACGCTCGACAGTTGAATTTTTCGCCATATGCCCCAGCATGGTGCCTGTGGGCCTGGACAGGAGAGCTGTAGTACTAAAAGCAGACTGCATTTCCTGTGAGACTGCAGTCGGATGATTTAGGTTCGTCCCGCTTCGGGTCATTTTCTGCACCTACTGTTTTTTGATGTTGAAGTTGATATAAAAACTTTGGGATTATCATAAATAGCCGCTGAAGCCTTGCACTACAATAAAAAATACCGGCACAGACTGATCGTTAGCCGTGGCCCACTGAAGCCCCTTGAAGCTTTGACTGTACGTTGTGGTAAAGACATTACTGTCGTCATTACCTCAGTTCAGATCATGTTGCAGTGGAATAAAGTCATTGTAATGATTTCACAGAAACATTTTTCATAGATCCTTCACAGTAATGGTGAGGTACTGGAGTATTGAGCATCTTCTGCTACCTGGTTCAGGCCACAACAAGCAGCTCAGACCTCTAACAATGGAGATTTTAGTTTATTCACAACAGACACACAACACTGAGGTGAAACACACGACCATCTTTTTGTGGCCGCTGTGGTTTGCTTCTGCTCATTTCTTTTTTGCAACGTTAAATCAGGCTTCTGCGGTACCAAAGATGAACAGTGTCTGCTTATCTCCCCGGGTGGAAAGACAGACAGACATTAATGTAGCAGTACAATAAAAACAGGATATTGACCGTGAAGGAGCATTTTCTTACCTCATGAGAAATCAAAATAAGATGTATGGACCTAATTAAATGGTAGTGTGTCTTGCCTACAGAACGGCTCACTGCATCATATGGCATCATCCTATGATGAAGGCAGTATCCTGGGGGGAGCAGAGACTAAAAGCAGTCTTATATTTTTAGATTTTGAATGAATTCGTAACATTTTTCCCCTCTTGCAGCCATATAGATACCCTCAAGCAAGGCATTTAGTCCCTGAACGCTCCAGTGAGGCCAACAGTGGAAGACAGAGGTCGTGCTGGGCAGCTTGAAGATGTGGATATGTATAAACTTATGAATATGAAGTAAAGCGATGCTGAAGGAAAGCACACATGCTCAGCAAACCTAAAGGTTAGAAAGCACGACGTCATTGGACATCACATCTTATTGCGAACGACTGGCAGGTCTGCTCGAAGTAAAAGGCTAACCCTTTCTTTGGGCAGGGAAAAATGGTTTTCTTGCTTTTCATTCTTCATCCCTCTCTTCTTCAACTCCTGTTCACCATCCAACCACCACTACCACTGTGCATTCATCTGGTCACTGGAGCCTTTACTCATTCATCAAGCTCTCATCTGACATTTCCAGATGGTCAGCTGATCCTTCCACTGACCATTTTTCTGCGAGTGTTACACCGTACAGAAGCTCTGAAGTAATTCAGTTACAGCATCTGCTGTATTAGCTTTGTGAGCACTGAATGCAGAGGACCTTTAAAGAGGCATTTTCCTCATGTATTCAAATATAATGGGGCAACAATTAAGCTCTGTCATAGGGTCAGCTGATATGAAGAAAAACAATCTCATTGTCATATGATGGCATTGCATATTGTTTATTTACAGACTCGCATTTACAGCAGATCAGTAACCGATCACGCTGACATCAATTTGCACAGCACCACCACCACCACCGCCGCTATATTAGATTAGTGAGGAGTCTGAGTGTGTGCCGAGTACCATTTTAGCCACAGGACTCTGTCCTGCCATAAAGTCAGAGTTTCAAAAATTGAATAATTTCAAGTTTTGTAAATTTGGGGCATTAAAAAAAGGACATGCAGAAAATGTCAGCCTTTCCATCAGAAGTCAGAAACTGTTCTTTTGTTACTGAAGACAGTATGCATGAGCCCAGTGCCAGAAAGACCCGGATCTTGGAAGGAGGATGTGGTCCTACACTAAGCCTCTTGCTCCACACACAATGGCCGGGTATCATATGATGCGAGGCTGCGGGTCTGTGGTCTAGTAAACGAGATTAGTTCACCTTGTTGTCATTTTATCCCATCAGACCACAGCAGATCCAAATCCATAGCCTCAAGTTGCTCGGCAGAAGGGAGGAAACAGGAGGCAGAAGAGGCCTTGGAGGAATGACGCTGGTCCCATGGCCTTTTTAAAATTGATCTCGCCTGGAGTTGATTGTTTGTTGTGGAAAAACAGAGCAGATTTGTTAGTACTGATAACAGGATGTTCATGTGTGTGCATTTGGTTGTCTGTCTCTGGGATAATATTGTACAATATTTGGACAGGCTAAATGAAGGGCGATAGGAAACGTTTTGGCAGTATGTTATTAAATGGGATTGGTTTGCCTCTCGGTTGCCTGATCAGAGATGGAGGAAATTAAGCATTAAGCTACAGTTACACAGCAAATTCATTTCAGAGCTAAAATGCACTTATAGTTGCAAACTTGAGAGCCAATATATCATGCTGTATATTTGGGGAAAGAAAATCTCTTTGGTTTCTCCAGCTGCCATCACAGAAATGACACAGAGTGAGAAAAGCAAAACAAAAAACACATAAAGGAATGATATGCGTAAATGAGTAGTCCAACATGGAATCAAGCCCGGCCTTATTATTAGCACAAAATCACAAGTTGTTTGTTAGCGACAGAGTGAGCGAACATCACAGCTCTCCAGCATCACTCTCACCATAACACCCTCCAGTGATTTGTTTCAGACATTGTTCCATTCCTGTGACTCATGTGCACTTCACTGCATCATAGAGGATATTCAAGTCGCCGCTTTGAATGTACTGCTCATTAATTGGGTTAGCTCATGGAAAACCTTTCGCTCAAGTATAAATATTTAGCGTTTTGTTTCCTGGATGTGTGTGTGTGGTGGTTACACAAGACAGTATAGACTAACAGAGGAACTAAAATACACAGATTACACCATTTCACCATGGTGTAGTAAAAGCAATGTTTTATTTTACTTTAAGTTCGTCCACATTTAGCTTACTCACATTACAAATTAAAGGAATCCATTATACTGTATGTCAGTGCAGTGTTGCTTAAAGTATGTAAACGCGTATGACAGTTGATATGATTTCTGCCTACGAGGCTCTGAACCTCTGTACTGGTCTGTGTTTAGAGAAATAATGTTATGTTACATAGCATCTGTATCATGATGTAACTAGGTTACTATGGGATTATTAGGCATCAGTCTTCAAAAGTAAAAATATTCATAGCTGCATTTATAGTTGTAGAAGTCGTGAATGGGGAAGTTGAGTTTGGGGAAAGATCCTTGCCACTAAAGACAGGTCATTAAAGGAAGCAAAGATCGACTGTTTCACCTGTCTCAGGTGTCAAAGTCATGTACTCATCCCATACCACAGCCTCCTCCCTGTGAAGTTTCAGTCCTTGTTATTTGTTGGAACCAATGACACAACTAGTCATGATTGCAGGAAATTTATAGTAAGGATAAGAACATGGCATCATTGTGGATAAGGATTGAGGAATGTGTGACAAGTTTCATCACCAAAACTGATATCCACCATTCGGACAGTAGAGAAGAGAGATAAAGGTATGACATAGACTTACTGCTATATTAGTTTTTTTTATATTATACTGAAAATGATTGTGTGAACTTATCTGCATATTGCAGTGTAGAACTGCTAACCACACCTTTCCTTGTTATGTTCCTCGTATCGTGTTTAATGTCAGATTGAAACTTGAAATGTCCAAAGAGTTCCTTTTGGCAGCACTGCCAAAGTTCAGGAGTAGTCAGGTCACACAACATGCTGCTAATAATACATGATAATAGACGACTTCGGAGTCCAACATTTGTCTTAGATTTACTGACATACTGATTGAAGCCACAAAACTGAATCAACCACAGTCTTACCTGATGAAAAGATGTTCACAGTTACAGACTGTTGTGACATTGTATGATGGACTTCATGTATCCAAAATGGATTTATATAAGTAGTTAAAAAAAGAAAAAATTGATGCAAATTCTATTAATTGGACTCAGTTGTCAGGAAGATGTCTTTTAAGCTGCTCAGATACATGTTTGCAGTCTAGCTCATGCATTTCTTATTGGCTCGCTCGGTGGACATGAACATGATAACGTGCAGGAGAAATGCTCGTTTTATAATCTTGATTCTGTTAAAGTATCAGAGTTCTTGTCGTCTGACAGCTCAATCTGTAAACTGAGATTAACCCGCTGCTGTCATGGTTCAGTTCATCTCAGAGGAAAGTGATCCGTCTCTTCAGATCCAGTGTCAAGCAAACAAACCCGGCTTACTTCCTCATCCGTCCTTCTCTTATCGGTCACCATTTAAACTTGACCAAGGTGTTGATCTTTGTAGTTGGGTTTGACCTTTTTAAGCTGGTGACTGATTGAGAGCATTGGCTAAAACCACTTCAAATATACTATCTACAGTAAACGAACCTCAAAGCTGCTGCTTTTCACCCTCTAAAAATCTTTCTCTGTACTTGTTTCACTTCCAGAGCGCTCACCTGGCGATGATCGACACTCTGATGACGGCGTACACAGTGGAGACGGTAAGCGTTGAGAAGGTGATGGCCTGCATTCGTCACTACTCGTCTTGCGACCCTGAGGTGGAAACGCCTTATGATACAGAGGATGCAGTGAACACCTGGATCAACAAGGTGGGATATGGTACCTCTTATTAAAATGACAGATTTACTGTAACTACACAAGGACAGACTGTAAGACACTGGTCATTGGGGTTGTACCGTATCCTGAACTTGAAGTAAGTCACCTTGTCACGAGTCCCAGTTTCACATGTTGCAAGTCGCTCAGAGGCATTTCATCAATGTCAGGCTCTTATAGCTTGAGCGCTGAAATTCCACAGTGCACAGTGGGGTCGCAAGGTATTCCAGTCAGAAACACCGACATTACATTCAATTCTTACAAACTTTTCAACTTAACTATCACTGTTTATATCAAAGCAGCAAAGAGCTGAAGATGAAGCATCAGTCATACTCTGGTCCTTGTAGTGAATTTGTCTTATTGAAGCTGCTGCCGGCTCAGTGAAGCTGAATCTTGTTTGTCTTTCAGGTAAACGAGTATCTGAAAGACGTCGTGGCTCAGGAGCAAAGGAAGAGGGAGACGCAGAGCGCCGAGCCTGCTGGGAGTCCTCGGGTTGGTGTTTTCCTTTTCCTTTCAATCCCGGCTTTTAACACTTCACTAGCTACTACACACCGACATACAGATGTCATCAGTTTGACGGACGCTTTCAAACAAACTTAAGTGAAATCATTGGCTCCACTTAATGGATTTTGCAGAACATTCTGCGTTTGACTGGCAGATATTTGTCCCAGACCTCTGCGTCGCTTTAATATCTGAGACGGGTTTCCTCGAGAAGATCTTAAGCCCTTAAAACCCGGCTAGCGTCGAAGAAAATCTCACTCACATATGTCTGAGCTTTAGATAAGGCTCAGTCTGCATTATTTCTTTAAATGAGAAAGAGAGAGGCTACATCTTCGACATCATAATGACTTTATCCACCCTGACGACTGCACAAGCTTCACTCACTTCATTTGCCTTAACCAGCAGATCAGTGCTCTCTGGTCTCATTAGGCCAGCAGTCATTTAGTGCGACTTCAGCCACGTTCAGTCCAAATCTGTTATATAACTAATTCTAGTATCAGCAGTGATTTCGAGTGTATGTGTGTTTCTGTGTATGTGTGTGTGTTATGTATTTGAGTAACTGATGTAATCTCTGTTTGGCTTCTGTAGACACAGCAGAGTGATGATCAGAGGGGAGGGGGAGGAGCAAGTGATGTCATACTCATCCTTCATGCTTCTTCTGCCTCTCACTGCCTCTCGCAGTGTGTATTTGTGTGTGTGCGTGTGTGTGTGTGTGGTGCCCTTCCCAGTCCCCGGGCTGTGCAGACTTCCACTGAGTTTGATGCTGATCCGACCAGTCAGTGTGCAGACGCAGCAGTGCATGCCTCAGCTGTCCCACATCAACACACACACACTTTTGATTGGTGAAGTTGCATCAAAAATAAGTGAACAATCATTTCGTCTTTAGGTTTTTTTTAATGCTTGCTGAACAAGAAAATGCTTTCCAAAACTTTATGTCAAAAGTCGAGGCAGAGTCTTTTTTTTTACAGTGTAGTCTACTGACTGATGGCCATGATGTGAATGTTAACACATCCGTGTGTTTGGCCCCCGGGCCTGAGAGTTGGCCCCTCAATAACATCGTCCCTAACGTCAGGGTGGCTCACGCGGATTAGTGTGTGTGCATGTTAGTGTTGTGAGGCTGCAGCTGCTGTCTGTCTGCTTAAAGTTTAAATAATAATCAGAAGCCCTCTGTAACTATCAGCAAGAACAGTAATGTTCATTCCATTTCAGTTGTGAAATAATGAATTATACTGGCTTATTATAATACCTCTCTGCATAATGATTACGGGACGGTTTTTGAACTTTAATTAGTGTCTAACTTAACAGTCCTGCTGCCTCAGATAGAAGACGTTGCATAACAACTGCTGCTGTGTTGGCAGACGTAGGCAGGCACAGTCAGCGTCTTGAATATATGAATGTAATAATAACTTCTTTACATGGCAAAAGAACACAGAAGAGCAGAAAACAAAGTAGCTCAAACTGCAAAAAATAGTGCACTACCGTTTTTTTTAGATTTTTTTTTTTACTATTGTCTAGCAGCTCCATCTATCCTTCCTCTATCCCTCCATCACACCCCCTCAAGACCTCCCCCCTTCTGTCTTTGCAGTATGACTGCAGTGTGAGTCACGCATGCAACCTCTTCCTCAGTCAGACAGAGACGCGACAACACTGTAGAGATCACCGGGGCGGCAGTGTCTCTATTTTAACCCACTGTACTGTACACTGAGGTGAGGGTGGGTGGAGGGTGGACGGGTTGTGGTCAGTGACTGTAAAGGCAACGTCAGGACGGACGAGTGAGGACTAATCCTGTTAAATTGCAGAAGCTGAGCTGCAGCTCAGCCGGACACGTCTGGCTTCACAGGATGAGCTTTGATGGGAAGAGTTGCAGGATGATTGAAGTGCAGATGGATGGGGTGCATGCGTGTGCACATACACATGAGTATACTATGCATGTGCGTGTTCTTCGTGTAAGCAGATGATGAATGCCTTACCTCTCCCCAGGGGGAGATTGGTGGTTATAACAGATTTTAAACTCTGTTCAACCCTGCTTAACCCACAGTCTGAGATCATCTCTTTTAGATGTGCAGTCTTCATCTCCTCCATCGTCTTCTCAAACTAACTAGGGCAGCCAGGTTTCGAGTTGTGTATTCGGAATACACAGTCAATATAAGTGCAAGTTCATTTTTGGTTAATCGTAGCCGTTTGTGTCATCAGAGCACCCTTTGTCAAAACCCCAAACTCACCTCCAGCTCACTCATTGCTATTGTCTCTGGATAATAAATAAAAGTGTTTAAAGATTCGTCATCATTTAAAAAAAACAGTAGGCAGTTAGAAAATCATCAGGGTTGCAACACATTTTTTATAGGTATCTGTTGAGCTGTTATCATTTATGTTTTTGTTTGAGTAAACCTTTTTTTGTTTAGATAGTCCTGTATTTAGATCCATTGATGTATTTGATGTAATTTGGCTTTGACAGGTAAAAACAAGAAACCTAATGCATTGAAAGTGGTCTACGGACCATAAGGTGTGGAATATAAACATGATGTACAGTATGCAAGGAGAAGATAAAAACATCTATGTAATTATGATTTTCTAACTATGAATATCTGTTAACATACGTGGCTCAATAATGAAACATGCTCACTTAGAACAATATATTAGATCATACTTAATATACCCTGCAGTATTTCTTCACCCTCACTTTCCCAATGTTGTACTGAGAGAGTGTTGTAGATCATGGATCATTTCTGCAATCCACTGTAATCTGATACAACAATACTCTTCACATTTTTATTACAAGCAAGCCAAGCATTCACATCAAGAGAGTCACATTCATGCTCCGGTATCAGTTTCAAAGGCAGTCCGTTCACCGGCAGACAGATAAACCTGATTAACTAATAGATTGATTAGATTACATCACGTGTGTTCCTCTGATGGCATCAGACTCCTGCTATTGACTGAAATTACCATTCAGAGAGGTGTGACGTTAATCAAATCAGGAAAATCCAAGAAGGCTACAACTGATCTGTTCCTCCTTTTTTCTTTTTATTATTTATTTTGGTGGTTTCAGTACAAAGCGGCCGTGTTTTTCTCACAAGTCATGGCTCACCGTTTGAAGTTGAGCACCTGCCAGCCAGTTTGAGTGGCACTCACATTTGGTTCTTTGATGCTTCTAGGTAGTGTGGGAATTAGCTATTAGCCGAGCCTCTCCTCTTTTTGGAATCAGCTTACTTTGTCAGTGGGTTGCTGACAGCTTGACTACATTTATGCAGTGGGATTGTTATTCAGTTTATTTGAGCTACTCTGGATGTTGAGCTGAGGCTCTCCTCTTCAGCGACAAGAAGATACATTTCCTGATTTTGTTGGTGTCATTCAGGTGATTCTTAATTCTAAGCTTCATCTCAGCAATTTAAAGTTGCACAATTCACAGTCTTGTTTCAACACATCAGCAGTGAATTTATGTGGATTTAGGGACACTTTGAACACTAACAAAATCAGGGAGTGTATCTTTAAGACAGTATAAGGATGCATACCTATTGATGCACAAAGTCCTACATGCATTACAGATTACATGCAGGTCTAATGATCCAATTTCTTGTCACGCACTACGACTATGATTATGAGTATGAATTAACCTTTATTTGATCTGGTCGTAACTAAACTCTTATTCTGTAGATGTATAAGCAGCAAAAGCCTAAAATACACACTTTAAACTTAACACCTCATTACACTTAACACAATTTCAGGGTTATTTGGGTTGCGTTGGCTGCTATTCGTGCACTCTCAGTAGCACACAGGTTCTCTCTTCCTTTTGATCTCACTGCTGTCATGTCTTTTCTTGTATTACTAATCGCATTAGCAACTAATCTCACTAACAGGTATTTCTTTGTTGTTTTGTCTTTTTCTTTTGCTTTGCTGCTGCAGTCTCCAACCAAGTGGTACATGAAGCTTGTGCCCGTAAGTCCACTAATCTGTGCTATGCTCTCTCATCTATAAGTGTCCATAGTGACCGTCTCTGCTCCCTCACACGTCTCTCTGTCTTGATTGCACATCATTTTGTCACATGTGTGCACATCAACCTGTGACCCGAACACATCTTTTCTCTTTCTTCCCCTATTTTGATGATCAAGTGTTCCCTTAATTCTGCATCCATGTGCTATACTATACAGTAAAAATGTAAAAATATTACACATTTAATTATTAAAGCTGTAGAGTGTGAACTACATTATGAATCAGTTCTAGTCTACTGTCTCTATTAATTGCAGTTTGGTGTTGTGAAGGTCCTTGTCAGTGGAACTAGACACCCTTGGGTAATTGCTGAAGAGGTCCCGAGGGGATGAGCCAAAAAAATGAAATAAATGTTTAATTTTAGTAGAATTTAATTTCAGAGTTGGGATGTCTGGGAGCATTTGGCATTGTTAATTGTTTCAGACTCCCTGCACCAGCTCTCGTTGTAGGCCCTCTTGTAACATTGTCTCTCTTTGCCTCAAACATAGTGTGGGTTTAAATAGTGTAAATATTAATGCCATTAAAACACAAAACTACACATAAACAACTTGCACATCCATATGAAATTTTGACACGTTTATTTAGAGTGCTGTTTGTAAATCAATATTTAAGTTGAATTAAAAATGCTCAACATGTACTGTAGATAACAGTTTTCTGTTTTACCATTAGGACTAACAAAGATCACATCTCAAAAAATAGTATTTTTTTGTGCAGAACTAATGTTTACCATAGTGGGTTTTATTCCCTCTCAACATTTTACAACTCTCACTGTAAGGCACCGCAAGAATTCAATTACCTTCATCCATGAGTAAATCTAATGAAGCCTCAAAATGTGTTCTAAAGGGTTTAAAGAGACAGCTGTTATGTTGGTTAAACTACTATACATGACTCATTTAACAGCTGTAATTAATGATTAAAAGAGAAACAATAGTAGGCCCAATAGGTACTATAGATGTAGGCAGGTTAATGTTGCACAGTGCGGTTTGATTTATAGGTGTGTATTTTATGTAACGCAGGCTCGCTACAGGAAGGAGCAGGCGTCGACCCAGCTGGTTCCCTGGATCCCCCCAGTGGACAACCTGCTGAAAGACAGCACGGACGGCTCGGCCCTGGGCGCTCTGCTACACTTCTACTGCCCTCAGCTGCTGCCATTGGAGGGTAAGGAGCTTACAGTTGGTGTGGGCTGAAGTAAAGGGTGTGTGTGTGTGTGTGTGTATGGCTCTTATACTGTTTCTGCCCATTGAAACCAAAAATGATAAACATCTGCTTTCAGAACACATTTCAACTACATGATAAAAAAACACAATTTTCAAACCCAAAGCAAATAGCTGAGCTTAGGGTGATTCTCTCCTTTTTTATACATTGTTTGTTTTAATTTTTAGCATGGAAGACATGTGGTAGAAACAGTAGTTACAATGTTTGGGGATTTGATTTGTGCCATTTTGACTCCTGCCCTGAATGATTTATTCATTAGATCAAAGATCAATCATGAACAAAAGATGCAACATAATCACATCACTTTGCTAATGAAGTGTGTTGACAGTGTGCCCAACACACACACACACACACACATACATATTCATCAGGGACAAAAGATCACTCACAAGACGCTGTATTAACACACAGATTGATGACACACAGAGGCATGATGTCATGATTGGTCAGCCACAAACCATTGTGCTTTAACACCTCAGCAGTTCTTTACTTAAAGTTCCTCAACATCGTACTTAACACGTTGCACTAATGCCTGAACTTAAAGCGCATTGAAAACCCCGGAGGTGTGTGTTCTAACCAGAACCCCTTTAACCATCAAATCCATACTGACTGTCGCTCTGACACCTGATGGCTCCCTCTGCCTTCCCAGATGTCTGTCTGAAGGAGAACATGACTCTGACTGATCGGCTGTACAACCTGCAGCTCATACAGGACTTCTGCAAAGACCACCTGAACAGCTGCTGCCATTTCAGCCTGGAGGACATGCTGTACGCCTCCTCCAACATCAAGGTATGGCTCAAAATTGGCTGCACTCAACACAGAGGTTTTGGAGGTTCATTTCCAAAACGAGATATTTGAAATTGAAATAGTTTCACTCACTTCTGTATCAAACCATTGCTTATAAAACTTCAAACTTGTACATGCTGTAATCATTATTTAGTTTCTTTATTTTAAAGTGGTCTTGTAAATTGAGCGCAATGATCATTTTAAAGACTTTAAGTTCTTTCCAGTCAAAACAATGACTGGAAAGAACTTCCATGCTTGTATTGTGATACTGATCCTGTTTGGTTGGCCTCCAAAGCGTCTCTCTGCAAACCAATTCTCCGCTCTGAAATTGCATTACAGTTAGTGTGTAATCGTTGTAACAGTCTGGGAGATCTATCTCCCAGAATTTAAACTGCTCAGCTACAGACTTGTTGAAACTGAGCTATTAGATAGGCCAAGTGTGTGTGTGTGTGTGTGTGTGTGTGTGTGTGTGTGTGTGTGTGTG